GTCGACGTCGACGCTAGCGACGAGCGGCCCGCGTACGGGAGTGGCCTGGCCGCGGCCGTCGTGGTGAAGCATGGCGAAGACAGAGCGACGGCCACCGCCACCGCCACCGCCACGGCGGCGCCGACTACAAGAGACCATCTCGCGGCTGCCATCATGGTCTCATGCATGGAGCGTGAGGGATCGAATGGATGATACGTAGGTGGAACGAAGTGGAGGTTTTGGCTGCGAGCTCTCGGTGATTTCTGGTTCGACGCTTCTCATGTCAGGTGCGCGTTGCCTGCAGCGGTACGGTGCTGTGGTGTCGTGTCATCCATGCGAGCATGATGAGCCAACGGCTTTGTTTCTTTTGCATCGAATTTTTGATACCAATTATGAGTATCAAACGTAGACTAATTACAAAACTAATTATATAGATTGGGCTAGTTTGCGAGACGTATTAAGTCTAATTAGTCTATGATTTTGACAATGTGATGCTACAGTAAACATTTGCTAATTATGGATTAATTAGGCTTAATAGATTCGTCTAGCTAATTAATCTACTCTGTGCAATTAGTTTTATAATTAGCTCATGTTTAGTTTTTCTAGTTAGCATCCGAATGTCCGATGTGACATGATACCATCACCACGCTAAACACAAACCGGCAACACCAAAGGAGATGAAATCATGAAAGGTTACATATAAACTGAAAATTTGGGCCTTCTAAATGCAATGTTGCTTCAATCTTGTGCTCTCTTACCACTTGTACTTACCCCAAAAATCCCTTCTCACACGCAACTTTTTTATTGGGTTAATTGGATCTGTGTCATTATAACTTCACCGTTTTTTAAACACGCCATTACTATTTAGCAAACTATACCACTGCCATTACAACTCTGCAGATGTTTGAGATACGCCATTATGTACGCTTGGAGATAGCTTGGGCCCACTGTCAGACGTATAGAGGGGTAACGTATATCCGTATGGACAAGATTGCCCCCTTACTCTTCTCTCTTACACTTGCTGACACATGGGGCCCACTTGTCAGTCTTCCCCACCGTCTTCCTACCTCTCTGTCTTCATCTCCGATGGCGGAAGCGGCCCGGTGGCCTGCATGCCCGCCCACACGCTCGCATCACAGCGGTCTGTGTGTGGCGGCCAGCCCTTCGCCTGCGCGCTCACCGGCGGTAACACAATGACCCGCACACGCCGCCTTCGCCCGCAACGCTGTAGCCCACACGGGCGCTTACGCTATGGGGCCGGGGTTTGGGCTCGAGGTTTCTTGGCCGAGGGACGGGCTCGCTAGCCCGGATCAGCAGGCTGCGGCGACTGCGGCCGGCAGTGGTCTGGTCTTATTTGGGCCCCTTGATGCTCGCCCTGAAAGCGGGATCTCGGTGGAGGTGGGGGGTGGCGGCGGCGGCTTCCTTTCGGCTAGCTGCAGCGCTGTCCAAGGTGGCGACGTGGTCGGGGCCATGTCCTCCGCTGAATCTGCGTCCTGGGGCGGGGCCTACGGCTCGCCGACGCGGGGGAAAAGAAGACGGAGTGCGCTCGCATCCGCCGCGGATTGACTCGCCCGCCGCCGTGGCCGTGTTCGCCAGCTCGGCGGGAGACCGCGGGGAAGACGAAGAGGGGCCAGAGGAGTGCCTGCCGTCGAGACGGACTCGACCGCTCGATGGCCGACCACGGGGAAGAAGACAACGGAGTGCGCCCTCGCTGCCGCGGGAAGACGTCTTTGCCAAAGGCGAAGGCGGCCCAAGGCCGCCGCCAGAGCCGGGGCCGGATCCACTCCCGCACACGCCGGAGCCGGTGCCACTCGCCGTGGCCGAGGCAACGCGTGCGGTCTCCGTTTCTCGCCATGTCGCGTCGGAGAGAAGGAAGAAGAAGATGACATGTGGGGCCCGCGTGTCAGTGATAGGGAGAGAGAGGCTGCGATGAAGTATACGTCTTCGTATACGCTACAGCTAGGCCCAGGCCGTGTCTATACGTATTCTGTGGCATACTTGTGAGAAACGAAGAATTATAATAGCATGCTTCAAAATAGACGAATAGTAATGGCGTTCTTCGAAAACGACAAAGTTATAATGGCACAAATCCAATTAACTCTTTTTTATATAAGAAAAAGATGATCTCATCGTTTGACACGTATGTTATCATTTCATATCATAAAAAGGTTACGTTTGGACACTCATGTTCTGCGTGCAAAAGGGTTTACCATATTTCAAAAGTGAACCGATACACAATATTTGCACATTTTTTTTTGCGAAAAACAATATTTGCACATCTGCATAAACCTGCTCCCGCATTCACATTGTCCTCAAATCATTTATGCCAACTAAAAGCAATCTGTATACAAACAACTGACTGCTTTCAAGATCCAACATTACCATGTTCATGTACAAATAAATCTGCAATGCAATCAGATCGAGCAGAAAGAGAATGTACAGCCCCTGCAGAAAACTGCTAAAAGGAATATTCACGAGAACCAACATTGCAACCATCTGTGCATCACCTATGACTTTTAACTACAGGACCGGTAATCACAACTCGGTTCGCAAATGTGGTAGTACTGAAGAGCACAGCTGGGACATGCCCGAAATGTTTTGCCACGTTTTTTTTTAGTGAACTAGACCTCTTCTCTGTCGAGATTGCTCTTGACGATGTTTAACTTGCACAATGGGCATGTAGCATTTATGTGAAGCCACTTGTCTATGCAGCTGCAGTGAAAATGGTGGTTGCAAGGGAGCTCACGCAGTTCCACGCCATCTTCATATGGGCATAGGCAGATACAGCACTCCTGCATTAAAAATGGGATGATCAGATTGAGTCTGATAGAACAGCATTCTCTGACTTAGTAGTAATAACAGTGTAAGACTGCACGGTAACTCAAATGTAACTCAAATGTAGCAAAAAAAAAAAAAAAAAAAAAAAAAAAACGGGAGCTCAACATAATACTCCTTCCGTTCCAATTTATAGGTCGTTTTGGCTTTTCTAGACACAACTTTTACTATGTATCTAGACATATCGTGTATCTAGGTGCATCGCAAAAGCTATGTCCTAGAAAACCCAAAACGACCTATAATTTGGGCAGAGGGTGGTAACTCTTTCCCAGAAGATAACAAAGGTTTGAGCCAGCCCAAAACATTCAGAATTGAACATCAGCTTCATAAGGACTGGTACCTACACAAAAGGTGAATGGCACAATCCAAGAGGCAGTAATTCCAAGTTTCCAACTGACCAGTTGAATGCTCACACATGGGCAAACTGGAAACATCGATCTTGCAGACACTGAGAACACTACTGAGCTTATCATTAATTGAGTTCAGCTGCCTGTCACATGTCTATAAGATTTATGACACCAAACTTGATTGCTTATAGAAAAACATGAGTTTTACCCATTGAGTACAATTTTAGTGTATTTGTTTCGAAAAATATATATAAGTAGTTGAGGTCACATGCCAGCTAGATAAGCTGGCACCAGAATATTACAATGTTATTAATTATTTCCAGATCCCCATATTCTATCATATATCCATTGACCATTGCCATAGAATTCAAATGAGACTCCCAATCTAAAAATAAGTTGTGTGCATGGAAAAATAAAGCAGTGTGGTTTTGGATCTACTGTCATTTTTCTTCCTTTGTACATACTAGTGAAATGATGGACATTACATTGCATTATGTCCCAAACTAAATCATCACCGTCAGAATTTCCAAAATCTCACTATTTTTGGAAGGTGAAAGGTAAAACATTAAAGAGAAATCACTCAATTTCTTCCAAATATAGAATCTTACATCTGAAATCATATGCAGGTTAGTTTTTATTTATTCCAAAATTGATAAAAAATATCTGAGGTGGTGTAAGCTAATTTCTCATAGATGTACTTTGCCCTTTAAACTTAAAGTTGAATTTAAAATCTAAAACTAAAACATTTGGAATCAATGTATCAACTTTGTTTTACAATTAATTTGGATTCAAGTTGCAGATATGAAACTTCTCAGATAAGACAGAAGAATTATCAAATTACTCAAATTCTTTCCTTTGAACTCTAAATCTTTAAATTATTTTCTCTGAACTCTAAATCTTTAAGTGGCAAAAGACATTCAAACTCTAGCTTCAATTTTTATTTAAAAAAAAAGTACATGGATTGGTCATTTCTGAAAACTAGATCAGATGTTTATCTACAAAGCTCCCTAGTTTCAAAGGTGCATACAACAAATCCAAAGAGAGAAGGATGGCGAGATGCTGAAACCCTTCTACACTCACAGAAGTTCAAGATAAATATTTCGACACAGACAGGAGAGCTTTTATGTACATAGACACCTAGAATCACAACTTCACAACCATGGGGTGTTAAGGAAGTAGAACTGCTTATATGGATACAAGAAGATAGTGACATGACATGTCCCATACAGGCAGAGGCACACATCCCATAGAACTGAGGAAGGCAAAGAAAAAATGAACAAATTGACATTCTACAAAAACTTAAACATACTATTCCCTCAGTCTCACTTTCACTGTTTTGTAGGCCTTGGGAGAAAACGTTCTACCATGTTTGTTCATTGATGGTATGTAGTGTGCAATTATTGCAATATTTCTACTCCACACCCCTGATTCAATGCTCTAATCATTGTTTTTGAGGCGCTGCAGCGACGCCAGCCGCTCTACCCCCTTCACAACGCCTAGGCGTTTATGGCGGACGCCTAGGCGACGCCATATGATCATCTTAATATATAATGCTACTAAAATTCAGAAGCAAATCATACCTTAATATTGCCAAGTCTTAGCATGTAATACCATAATAAATAATGTTACCAGAGTGCTAGTGCACAACATAAAGTAGCAAAATAGCAATTCTGAAATCTCTCATCACTCAATAGCAACAAATTAGTCTCTAATAACATAATATAACTTAATGACTAGTGCAGTTAGGGCAAAACAAATATAAGTAGCATAAGTGCAGATCTGAAATCTCTAGTCAGTATCATCTAGGGATGATTATTCAAGCAGTTTTCCATGTCCACTCTAATTGCAGTGGTAGTTTTCATGCACTTCCTTGTATCTCCAAAGCCACCCGCCAGATGTTTCTTCAGCCTTTTTATCCCTCTGGTAAGTGAGGCACCACATAGAGTGCATGCCACCACATCTGTCTTGAAGGTTTGGCCAGTACCCATACTTCCATCCTGGATCCACAGAGTTTCCCTTCCGAGCTAAATCAGTCCTGGGATCATAATTGCTGATGATGGAAGATGGACTTGCCATTGTGCTATCAGCTGTAAAAACAAAGAACTCGAGCACTTCCGGTCACCTCTATATAACAAAGCACGAGAGACAGGGAAAGAAACAGAGGAAGAGGGAAAGAAATAGAGGAAGAGGAGGGAAGCAGAGGAAGAGGAGCAGGGCTGCGGAGGAGACTAGAGAGGAGGCAGGGAGCATACGAGGCGGACGGGCAGACGGTCGACGGAGGCAGGCGAGCAGGTGCGGTGCGGACGGACCCCTGGTGGACTCGAGTAGCCAGGCGGAGGTGCAGGGGTGGACCCGACGGAGGCGCAGTCAACAGGCAGGCGGGCCGACGGAGGAAGACTCGAGGCAGAGTCACACGAGCAGGTGCGGAGTGCAGCAGCGACGTGCGACGATGCTGGAGCGGCTCCACGGCAGGGGCGGACAGCCAAGCGGAGATGCAGGGCCGGCTCCACGGCAGGGGCAGCCGGCCGGTGGACACGAGCAGAGGAGCAGCCAAGCGGAGGTTGAGGTCCGTCCGCCGCTTTCTCTCTTCCTCTCCCCTCGCCGCACTCGCGGTAAATGACTCGTGCGGTAGATTTCCCGCGAAGAGGCTATCTAGGCGGACGCACGGTCGATTTCCCACACCTCTTACTTTCCCCGCGGGCGCGCGGTCGATTTCCCGCGGGGCCGCACTCCTTTTGGCGCCCTTCCCCCGCGGCCGGCATCCGGCGTCCAGGGCGGCTGTAGGCATCCGCCTGATGCCATTCGCGCCTAAACGCGCCTAATCCTATGAGGCGGATGCCATACACACTAAGGTCGTGGCGACCCCGATGCCTAGGCCCTCGACCACGCCTTGTCGCCTAGGCAACAACTAGGCGACGCCTCAAAAACATTGGCTCTAATAGTAGAGAAATGGTTACACCATGATGTATAATACGAGTAGAGATGGTTATTTCATGTTCCTGTTACTAGTAATGCCTTGGTTTGTGCACATGGTTTGTTGTGGACAAATACAGTGAAACAGAGGGTAATAATTTCGCCATGTAAAGACAACTGTAACTATGGAAGTACTGTGACAAAAGAAGCAAACAACTTCCAAACTAAAACTCCTCCAATGTCAACGCAAATCTAGGGAATATCCTACTACAATTTCAAATTTCTGAAATGCATGCACCACTGTAGGAAATGGTTAACTATTCTACAGATAATAGACTTTAGACCTCAAGCAATGTAAAAATTAACATGATGTAAACAGTTTGCTGCAATTATCCTAAAATTCCACCATTATTCAAATGAAATGGAATTTCTAACACATTCAGCGCCAACCATAAATATCTACAGAAGGAGAATGATAACACAATGATGTCACTAAAACTTCTCAAAATAAACTTGAAAAACTTACTGCATCCTCAGCTGAAAGAATATGTTCGACAGGAGGATTGGTACCACACTCTGTCATCACTCCACCCACAGGTGCTGCAATGCCGGCAGCTAGCTTGTCTGCATCACTCATTGTCCAAAATTTGAATCTGGAAAGGTTGTTTATGTCATCTTCAGATGCTCCCTCCTGCTGAAATTGAAACAAGTAGATAGTCTCAGCAAAAACAGTGTGTTTCACTGGTTTTGTGTCAGGAGGCAGAGAAGAAGAATCGTTTCTGTCATGTCAACAACCATCTTAAGCGTGAACAATTCAAATAATACTGGTTAATAAGTAGTTGTGGTAGTGTAAAGGAATAAAGCTACAGAGAAAAAGTTCAGACAATGATGGTTGCTAGCTCACTGCACATCAGCATAGGAGACATCAATGATCCCAGGCAAAGCCTCTGTTAAAATTACTTGCACCACTACAGGGCATGCTAATATCTTTATGGCATGGGTGTACGAATGTAGCAAAGGGCAGCAAACAGGAGTGTTCATATCATCCAAAACAGGGCATTAGCCATTGCATTTGACAGAAAAAAAAAGGAGCTGTATTTAGATGACCATGGTGGGCACAGGACATACCTGATCAGTTACAGCATATAAGATAGCAATAATGCAGGGAAGGCAGCAACAAACAGCGATTCCAATCACACAAGCCAAGGCAACACAGAAGACCACAAAGAAAACATCAAATGCCAGAAAAACAATTGACAGCCTGTAAAAAAGAAGAAAAAGAAGATAGACATTTCAGAGAACAACATTGATGAACTTAAAAAAGACCACTCAGATTTTTTTCCTTATTCACACATCAAAGTTACAACAGACATACCAATAAAGCTGAGGAGCATCATGTGATAAAGCTTGACCACCTGCAGACACCCAATAGAACCCAACGATCCACCATATGAACGAAAACATCGTGTTTGCAGACTCCAAGTGCTTCACAATACTGAACATGGAAACAAATAAATAGTAAGTATGATGACAAGAACAAGTAATCTTAAGGATTTCAGTATTGAAATGTTTCCTAGTGTGATTCAGGTAAAATGAAGGAAAGACATGTGAAGGCTTTGTACAAAAGCACCAAAAAGCTAATAATAGACAAGTCCATCAAATCAATACAAAATTTTCATTGGGGCCATTTCTATGTAAGATATCGGTTCATATTAAATAATATCCGACAGCAACCTACTCAGTTCTCAGGCTAAAACTCTTGTTTTCAGTTTTTGTACTTCATTGTTATAGGTGATAATTTCATTACTTATTGCTTTCACTTGTTCTAAAAGGATTGCAATCAAGTGGTATATGCCTGCAAGTGAACCACAATGAAATATTCAAAACACATTTATGGAAATTACAGGGAATACGTTCAATAGAAGCATCTTGGTCATCATAAAGTTGGCTGCAAATACCAAGAGAATAAGGGCCTGTTTAGGTAATGGGGATTCAGATCCAACATATAAAAGAATTGTCAGAGAAATCCCCTCAAGCACACCCTAAATAATCTCCCGGTTCCACTGCAAGTCTGCAATGTATGAAGTCGCACATGCTATCATCAATTACTCTAAAAATATTCCATAAGAATGCAACCTTAACCAAAACAACATAATTACGCTGACAACCAACCTTCCACCACCACCCTATGCACATTTTTTTAAGCAAAGGAAATCATAAGTTGTCCAAAAGTAATAGACCTGTCATATTATAGAAAAAGAAAAGGGAGATCAAATAAAGAGGAAAAGGAAGAGTCCCCATAAAAAGGTGCATAACCCCCATCGAGTCAACTCAAATGAGAAGGGCTTCAAAACACCAACAACAAACAGCACGAGGTAGCTACAATCAAAAGCATGAGCACAGAAATGGTCAACAGAGCACAACATAAGGAGGCCTGGAGGTGGCACGTAACTTTGACCAGATCACGATGGCAATAAGATGCGACACCAGGAGTATTGGGAGCTCGGGCTCGATCCAAGCAGAGGCTCACCTGAGCTTGAAACCGTCATCACCCGCTCCCTCCTGGTCCGCGTCCCTGCATCGGCGCCTGTACTCGACGGTGACGCAGAGGGTGTGGAGGAGGCACTGGAGCACGTAGCCCGCGATCCAGACGCGGAGCGGCACGGCGGGGCTCTCGCCCGTCGACGTGGCGAGGACGGCCGCGGCGACGGCGACGAAGGCGAGGTTCCAGAGCATGTCGAGCACGACGACGGGCTTGGAGTAGGCCCAGTCGGTCTGGCGCTCCTCGAGGTGCTCGGCGGCCGTCTCCCGCACCGCCACGGAGGGCTCCCTCATCAGGCGCCGGCTCCCCGTGCGGCGGATGAACCGCGCCGCGCCGCGGAGGCTCGTGAGCCGCCCCAGCGGGCCGCCGCCGGAGGGGCCGGACGCCGGGGAGGTCGGCGAGGAAATGAGCGGCGTGGACGGGGAAGGTGGGTCCCCGCCGGAGGAGCGGCGCGGAGAGGTCGACGCCATGGCGGGAGCCAATCAGCCAAACCCTAGCGCTGTTTTTTTCTTTTCCTTTGTTTTTTCTCTTCTTCTCCCTCGCGTTAGTTGCGTTTCTGGCAGTGATTAGCGTGGTTTTTGTTGCGGCGAGGGAGTTGGTTTGCAGCAGCGTTAGCTTTGCTCGTGAGTTCGGGAGGCAGTAGGATAGCCGTGGGCCCTTTCAGGTTTCTAGAGACGCTATTTGGCCATCTTTCGTTCAAGCCCTTGCCCACTGGCTGTTCAAACCGCAATGGTAGTCAGGAGCTGCCAGATTGGACGATCAGATAGACCAACAATTCAAGAAGATAGGGTAATTAGAGCTGGATAAAATAAGTCCATGCCAACCGCAAATTGCAGCATACACAGAGGATTAGAGGAAGCAACGTCAAAACGATCACGGCCCATAATATAAAGCTTAAACTTCTCCAACGATTTTTATTATTAAAACCACTCTTTAAATACTCATGTAGAGTCCTTCTAATAAAAATCGTGCTCTATATCTCTTCGTCTTCCAACAATTTTTCTATATTTTGTTTGGTACTTTGAAGAGTTAGCTATGCTCACTTAGTGAGCGAGAAATAAGAATAGAATGTGAAAATTTTGAGATCTAGTTGGAAAACACCGAAATCTACATACAGGATGGAATACATGGAGAAATCAAAAATAAAGGATGGAAATATCAATATGGGAAGTTATAAAGAACCTCTTGGAGTTCATCTTCCAGCTTCTAAGACTCAATGTGTTTGAAAAAGTGCAGATGAGTTTCATTTTCATAAAACTTTTATTATCTCTCTTCATCTATTCCATGCCTTATCAGCGCATTTAATGTCATAAAACTCCCATTGAGACTGGTTCTTAAAACCTGTTACATAAAGGTTAGAACTAAGCTAGTGGACTGTGATAGTAACGTTATTTACACAAACCATTTGGTACACTTGTAAGGCTATCCGCACTCGTCGACATCTATTTCCATCTCTTAAAAGGAATATTCTATCCTAGTCATCGAGATTCTCTACTCTATACCCATTTTTCCCGCACCCGTGTTATCTCTATCCCATACTATATACCAACTACTCCATATTTTATTCCTATCCCTCCCCCTTTCTCTCTCTCCCTAACTCTCTCTCTCTCTCTGCTACAGTGTTTAGCGTGGCTCTCTCGCGTGGTACCGGCCGCTTTAGCGCTCTGCGGTGCGGTCAGCCTAAGACTGCCCACAACGTTGCTTTTTTGCCAATGCTCAAACAAGAGAGAGAAGGCTGAAGCATCGGGTAGAAACGTTGTGAGAACCGATGCTGAAACCAAAAAAGTTCTACCCGCGTCATGTTGGTTCCTCGATGTTGAGAAGATAAAAAATATTTTTGCACCGTCCGTTCGTTTCAACCAGCACACTTTTCCTCTTCCACACACTGGGCAGCACGCTGACAACTCTGAACATTTGGATCCCATATATAGTAAAGCATCGATGCTCGCATTATATCCGTTTGTGGTTTATAGCATTGATATGAGCTGGCGTACGGAGATGATTTTTCAGCACCGGCAACGCTGTGGCCAGGGCACCCACAACGGTACCACGTCAGCTAGCACGAAGGGAGCTGACGTTGGATTCTTGTCATTCTTGCGACGTGGAAGAAAGAGAAATCAAGAAATCTCCACGCTAGCGTTGGAAGCAGAGCTTGCGTCCCGAGGCAAACTGGCCTAGCACATGACCTGTCCTCCATTGTTGCTTCTCTCTCCATAATAAAGAACGAGGGCTTATTTTCTTTAAAATTTAGTCTAACATAGAGTATTAAATATAAATTAAAAAATAATTAATTACACAAATTGTGGTTAATTTAAGAGATGGATTTTTCAAGCCTAATTAGCCTATAATTTGACAATATGGTGCTACAGTAATCAACAGTAGCATGCGCTAAAGTCGGATTAGTTAGGATTAATAAATTCGTCTCACGAAGTACTGAGGACTTCCGTAATTTGTTTTATTATTACTATCCGAACACTCACATATAACACCTCGACGTGATACCCCTAAACTTTAGCCCCTCTTACTCTTCCATAGATTACTTAAAGACATAGGACCCACTCTGAAAAGTTTTGAGCTAGACTATTGGAGAGCATGTCTCGTGCACTATCTCTTAGATGTGGCAATATATGAGCTAGTAAGCTGACTCAAGAGTTGTGGGTGCCCTAACAACAATGACTAGGATATTACATTAATATATAAGTAGGTAGCGTGCCCGTACGTTACTACGGGATAGCTAACATTTTATAATAAAAACACACGGATCGCACGATAAGATAACAATACTGTAAAAATTAAATACCAACGTTAAAGTGACATTTAATCAAAAAACAAAGTTTATAAATTTAACACAGTCACGGAGTGCGCGGCGTCGTAGGCTCATAAACTCTACTTTATAGATCTTTTCGTGATGCGGCTAAGATAATGTTTTATATTGGCAGGAAGAAATCTCCGATATCCATTTCTTTCGTGCTCACAAACTAATAACCCTGGTGCAACAATGAGAAATACAAATGAGCTATCCTCCTAAATGCGCGGAACCAACGCCACTACGATCGTGTCATCCCACAACCACTGGTATGGTGTTGTTTAGCACTATTGTTCATTATTATCGCTAACTTGTTTCGTTGGTTTTATTCAAGTAATTTATGTTTGTAATTATGCAGGTGCTAATTCGGTTGATCCCACATTGGCACATAAGAAAAGTGGGAAAAGTCAACAAAACTCATGGTTTTGAGAACATACACGTGTAATAGTTACAAATGGTTACAAAACAAAATATTATGAATAAAACACTCAAAGTGTCATTTTTATAACAATAATATAACACATGTTCAATTTTCATTATGCCATCACACAAGTATATATACAACATCTCTGTGTAAAGTCTAATAAACCATTTAAAAATACTTAGAAACAACAACAAATATGGCATTAGTGAGATATTATTTGTACAATATAAATTGAATGAAAAAAATGCATTGTATGCGTTAGTAATGTTCTGTTACCTCGCCTATAGCGTTAGAACATCCTTAAATACAATATTCTTCGTGAAAGTTCCATCCGCTATTGGGTCTTCTTATCTTTATCTTTTTTATTTGGCGCATTCTTTTTTTCCCTCGGCATTCTTTTTAGCATTTTTCTTCTCTATCTTTTTGGCCTCCTCGTCTTGTGCCTCCACATCAGGTGGGAGGGCAAGGATCTTAATATTGGTTCTTGACGTGGCTCTAGACATCGCAACGTACAACTGACCGTGAGAGAACACCGGTGCGGGTAGGTACACACCCACGTTCGGTATAGTTTGGCCCTGTGACTTGTTGACCGTCATGGCAAAGCTCAGCCTGATAGGAAACTGCTTCCTCTTAAACTGGAACAGGAACATCTCGTGATCAAACGGGCATAGCGGTATTCGAGGAAGGAATACCCGCTTCCTAGCATCCTGCCCACCACGATTTCAGCGTTGATTGTATTTCTTCGGAACCCCCACACCACCAGTCTTGTACCGTTGCATAGCCCATTGGCAGGGTCAATATTCCTAAGCAATATGACAGGACACCCGAGCTTGAGCTTCAAGACGTGTGGAGGTAGCCCGTTGGGGGTCAAACTGTTAAGGAACTTCGATGGATAGTAGTTATGTGGATCATCTACCACGGAGTCAAAACTATGATACACCGTCTCACCGCCCTGGAACATATCAATCATTTTCATATTGATCATGTCCACCCAATCATTACGTGTAGATAAAATCGCTCTGGTGGTGATGTAGTCTTTGTCTGCCATGTTTGCATTTAGATCTGGAAAGATGATGTCGATCAATGTATGAAGATCTTTCTTGGCCTCTCCAGAGTACGGGACACATATCTCGTCTGGAATACGTACATTGCCATCTCCGTTAACCTCTTCCGTTCCACCACCAATGCACAATAGATAATCTGCAACCCATGGGTCACTTTGAGCCCTCATGTTGCAGACGAGCTTTAGGTGGCGCATGGATTCCCAAAGATATGACCTTCATAGAGAAGCACCGACTATTTGAGCTCTGGATCCTTTCCGCACAACAGGGAGGACCTGTCTGAAATCCCCACCAAGGACAACAGTCTTTCCACCAAACGGTAGGTTTGACCGGCCCATTATATCCCGTAGGCTGTTGTCTAGTGCTTCCATATTTTGCCTCTTTGTCATAGATGCCTCGTCCCAAATTATGAGAGTTGCTTGCTACAGTAACTTGGCAGTACCACTCTGTTTCGCGAAGCTACAACAACCACCCTCTTGAAGAGTGAGGGGTATCTTGAAATGAGAGTGGGCCGTCCTCCCGCCTGGCATTATGGCTGCTGCAACTCCAGATGTAGTTGTAGCCACGACAAGCTTGTCCTGGTTGCGTAGTTTTGTGAGAAGTGCCCTATACAAAAATGTCTTTCATGTCCCACCAGGTCCATCCACAAAGAACAACCCGCCTTGTTTGCTACAGACAGCGGCCATTATCTCACCATAGACAAACCTTTGCTCGGCGTTGAGTGAGTCGCACAATAGCACATCTTCGGGATTCTGCTCGACGCTAGCTTCCTAAAATATCTCACGAGGAATATGGCTGGCATCGTCATATGAGTGATCAATATCTAGAAGAGGAAATGACCTTATGTCCTTCCCCATAGACTACAGCATGTTTCTAATGTCTATCAAAACCATTTGTTGCACCAGATCCGGGGATGGATGATTGCGGCTGTAGTCCTCTGACATTGCATCGTAGTGTTTTTTCCACAACCCCATCACATCATGTGGCTCACAGAATACCAATATTGCTGCAAATAGCCTCCGCAGAGAGGAAGGCATCTAGAATAAAGTAGCTTCAGTTAGACATTCATCCAGTGTATTGTCTTCTTCGATTAGACCCCTCCTTTCTGCAGCTTCATGGAACGAAGGTAGTAGCACACCATCAACCATCCTTAGATGTTCGTATGAGGTAGCACCAGCA